TCTTTTTATCCTAACAAAAAAAGGTCATCAAAATATACTTTTAAATCTATTGATAATTGGAAGTAATAACTATCATGAATAATCGTTATAGCTTAGAGATAATAAATTGAAGTTTTTATAATGAAGCTTTAATTCCTTTTGTTATAATTCCAAATAAGTGGTAGATATCAGCATGTGGTTCACATCAACAATTTTACGAAAATCATTTGTATGTTTTTTAATTACTAACTAGCAGTCACCCGCCATTGCTTTGCACCGGGATTAACGTTTTTTACATAAAAAATATCATATTTTATAAGTAGAGATATAAATAAAAAATCTATAGATTATTTTAGTGATTAAATTGATTAAATGGATAGTCACTATTGGTTGAAATAGTTTTTTTTCATTTACAATTAAAAAAATATTGGTTTATATCTGTCTCTTATACACATCTAGATGTGTATAAGAGACAGAACTTGATTTTATGGTTTTCATAATATAAAAATTTCATCAATAACCCGGCAACCCGGCTTTTAATTTTTTTTTTCAAAAATTTTATATGCGAAATTTTTTTTCAATTTTTAAAAAATTCTCACCCGGCATAGTAATAATATAAAAAATTTCTTTTTAAGACTTAACAAAACTAACCCGGCCGGACTATGAAAACCATTTTTACCACTTTGTGTCGCCTAATACTTTTTACCCTTAATATTTTTTTTTTTAACGAAGACTTTATTAGTACACATTGTAATCAAACCCATATTCACCATACATACATTTTCTATTAAATTTATATTGAAACCTACATCAAATAAAACCTAGCTAATTTGAAACTTGTAACTACTAAAATTACTTTATATAAATTTCATTTCCGGTCCTCTTCCGATCTTTTTTTTCAACCCATTTTTTTTTATTTGTTTTTTAGATCTGTGATCGGATTAACGCTATGGCATTACTCCATTACAGTCAGCGTCTTTTTTTCCGATTCTTATTTTTAATAATAATTATTTTCCTGATTATTTTATTTTTTTTGCTAAAATTTTTTTTTGTTCTTTCAAGTAATATAATCAAAATAAATGATTTTTTTATTTGAATAAACATGTTTCACATGATTTTTTAGTTAGGATAAATATATTTTTTTATTTAGCATAAAATTGGTTAAATTGAAGATTAATAAATTATAATTTTTAAATTACATAGATAATTTTTTCATCTAAATGATTAGTATAATACTTATATTAATATTGTTCATTTCTTTTATTAATAACAACTGAAGTTATATTTATAATAAAAGCATTCAAGTAAGAATAAAAAATTATTTTATTATATAAACCAATATTTTTTTAATTGTAAATGAAAAAAAACTATTTCAACCAATAGTGACTATCCATTTAATCAATTTAATCACTAAAATAATCTATAGATTTTTTATTTATATCTCTACTTATAAAATATGATATTTTTTATGTAAAAAACGTTAATCCCGGTGCAAAGCAATGGCGGGTGACTGCTAGTTAGTAATTAAAAAACATACAAATGATTTTCGTAAAATTGTTGATGTGAACCACATGCTGATATCTACCACTTATTTGGAATTATAACAAAAGGAATTAAAGCTTCATTATAAAAACTTCAATTTATTATCTCTAAGCTATAACGATTATTCATGATAGTTATTACTTCCAATTATCAATAGATTTAAAAGTATATTTTGATGACCTTTTTTTGTTAGGATAAAAAGAACGAATTACTTTCCTCTCGTCGACCAAATAATATTAAAAGGGTGAGATATTTATGATTCCTCTGAAGGAGATCAAGTAAGATTTAGTTAAGATTTTCCACCAATCACTCGAAAAACTTTATCTTGATGGAAATATATTTTACTCCTGTACTTTAATATATCTAAATATAAATAAATAAATTATTTACTTAACGTGCATTATTAAATATTTGAGTCTTTTTAATCTAATAATTTTTAATTCATAATTGTTCAAAGCGCAGCGGAGGACATCTGCGTTCGTCTATCCGCACGTAATCAGTGATCTTGGTTATATATAAATTCAATTTTACCATGTGCAACATCCGGTTTAAGGTTAAGATAGGAAAGTTAATTCCATAAACATTCTTTAAATGCACCAGTAACGTATCGTTTTTAAGAAAAAAATATAAAAAAATCTACCGACGATTCGACTGATAATTTTAGCTTATTTAGACTTAAATTAAGCCATTTCTTAATCGATTGAGTTTAAATACCGAATTAAGTATTACAATTAAGTATTACACTTTATTTATTTATTTATCATTAAAATCACAAAATAGTCAATTACTCAATAATAAAAAATTAACCTAAAATAAAAATCAAAATTTTTCTACAATAAAAGTTTCAATTTCTTCAATATTATAAATTATTTCTGTACTTAGAATATTATTATAATTATCTTTAAAATTATTAAGATACAAATTATGATTAACCACACATAATGAACCCTGACCAAAATTAAATCCATGATCACCACGAACCAATATAGCTTTACTTTCATTTACTACACGTCCTATTCTCATATTTCGAGTATCACTACCATTTTCAAAAGTAAAAATAAAATTATCTGATGAACTATAATATCTTAAATTATTTTCAACAATATAATTATCTCCTAATGAATTAAGTCCAATAGAACTATATCCACCAAAGATTATATTGGATTGTTTAGTTTTAATTAAAACTAAACTTGCTACTCTTCCATTACATTTATTTTTGATTGAATTATTATTAATTCCATTCCGTCTACCACGATAAATAAGATTAAATTTATAATATGGATCATTACCAGTACGAATATATTTAACATGTTGTTTATCAATCCAATTAATAATTACTTTTACTAGTTCTGATTCAATAATATTTGATTTAATTTTAATTTTTCTAAGTGATGAAAATGCTAAAGATGGAAAAGTTCCTTTATGGTAATATTTTTCAATTTCTTTATAAATGAATTTAGGAATAATAGCTTTATAAGGAAAGACTTTATCAACTATATCCTCACGAGAAATTCCTGCATACCGAATGAGAAGGAAAAAGTTAGCTATATTTTTCTTCAATGCTTCGTAATTCTCATTATTCCAATTGGTTCTATCGCTTTCCAAATCAGGCGTTTGTTCAATACCCCATTGGATTAAACAATCCCAAATCGCAATTTCTTTAACTTGTAAATCATCTCTACTAAGTAAATTATGAAGGATATCTTTATCTATTGAAAGAAAAGTTTTTGAAGTAATAAATGGTAATGAATTGGCACTGAAAAATTCAAAACAACATTCTTTCAACTTCTTACAACCGACAAGTTTATAAACTGCATTAAGAACAAAAAACAAATTTTGATAAATCCAACTAGTTTGTTTCAAAATTAAATAATCTTGTACAAATTCGAATAATTCCTCAAGAAGTAATTCATCAGATGCAATCAACAATTCAAGAATATTTTCACCCGATTGCTTAGTTAAATCAAGTTCACTGGTGTAAATATATCTTTAATTAAAATAAATATAAATATATTATTATTACTATATAATATAATAAAATTAATAAAAAAAAAACATCTTACCTTAAAATCATGTCAAAAACGATTGGAGTAACATTTGGTTTATTAAACATAATCATATTATCTTTCTTTTCAATCCAATTTGAAGAAAGTGCCCCTTTAAAATATGAAGAACGAGCACGTAAAATAACCGAATGTGCTCGAAATTCTTTTGTATTGTTGGTTTCACCAACTTGAATAATTACATTATAATCATCGGAATCTTCTAATATTGAGGAAAGATCTTTTGTAAGATTAAAATAAAAAAATGTAGTCATTTTTTTTGTTATTTATTTTTTTTTAAAAAAAAAGAAACCCTAAATGGAATTTTATATTTAATTGTACTTGTTTTAGTTATTTATTGAAACCAAAACGGAGTTTTATATTGTTTTGGTTATTTATTGAAACCCAAACAGAGTTTTAGTTATTTATTTAGTTATACAAAAATAATTAGGCTACACAGCATGATCAGATGATTGAGTGATCTGTCCGAATATGTGTCAGGCTAAGCCTCCTTGTGGCGTAGCAATTCAAAACAAAAAATTGCGCCTATTTCGTAATTATAGGATTTAAAAGCTTTATTTTAAAGAAAAAGTAATTTATTCTGTTCTAAAAGTTTTTTCAAAATTCAAAAGATCTTGAATGCTATTTTTTGAAATTAATGAATGGAAAAATTTTAAATTTTTTATTGTCTTTTGCTGATCATGTTCAAAATACTGTAGATTTAACACTGTTCTGACGAAAAAAAAAAAGATATTCAAAGCGTCATTTGTCACTTCAAATTACGTTTACTTAATGAATTTTAAAAGTTATAAAGTATGTTTAAGATGTTTAAGATAATTCTGATTTTCATTTGTCCATAATGTTTTATCGGATCAAACGGATCAAAGAATGACCAGGTCATTTGATGAGAATGGCTGAGACATTTAAATTTAATACCAGTTATTTGAGTCACATTTGAGTCATCAGCTGACAACTAATGATTTTTAATATGGTCAAAAGTGAATTCTTCATATTTATGCCAGAAAACATTAATAAATTCAGAAAGTATATTAAAATTGTAAGTTAATTTTAGCATCTTTGCTGTTTATTTATAAAAAAAATATATATATTAATATTGCTTTTTTAATACACAAATGTTTTTTTGTTTTATGCTAACATATTTTATTTATGTACAGTACGATCGATATCCGTTCCACTTTATGTTGTTAGTCATATTTACTTTGAAAAAAAGTTACTAATTACGTCTTAAGCATGAAATTCCTACTTTAAGTAAGACTAATTCTGTTTGATATGTATTACAAATTTTGTCCAAATAAAGAATTTATTGGTCAGCCAAAAAAAATATCGACATGTTATCAATAAGCTTTATTATTGTTAGCTTTTGTTTGATAAAACAAAACAATTTATTACAAATACTTAAGTAGTTATATACAGTGACTAAACTTAACTGGATTTGCTTAAAAATATGATTTTAAAATATTTTCTTTATTTGCACTTAAATACATAAATGTGACAGATTACTTAAATGAAACACTCTCTGGAATCTAGATTAATAATATTTAACACCCGAAAATCTTATTTAATTTTATACATATTATATAAGATTAAATTTGAAATTTTACTAAACCACCTAAAAATTTTAAATCTATCAATTATTCAATAAACAACTGAATTACAAAACCCTAAAACAACCTAAAACATCAAAAATAAATAAGATAAAGTTCATCTCAGTAGAATTTTCTCAATAATAAAGTAAAATTAATATTCTCTAATGTTACTGGCTTACTTAACTTAAAACATAATTCAAATTAATTATAGCTAAATAATTTATGGAAAGAGATGTTGATGGTGTGTTTCAAAATTTTTATTTGTCTTTTGATTCGCTATTTCGATCTAAAAAATAGAAGTTTAAATTTTATCTTCCTTATTAATTTCATCGATTTTCAATTGAAAAATATCAATTTGTTAAAGATTCTAATTTATAAATAAAAAAAATTCATTAGTAATTAAATAAATTTTATATCAAAAGAATTAAAATTTACCTAAAGATTTCATGCTTATTATATTATCATTCTGTTCGTCATAATCATCGGAATTTTTTGGTTCAGGAAGATTATTGAAATTAAGTAGCCTGCTTGTATAAACAGCTTTGGAATGTGTTTCATATGACGGTAGTTTGTTGCTGGTTGGTAAACTAATGTTGATTTCTTCTGCTTCTTTAATTTGTTTTCCTATTTCTGATTGATCATCATATTCATGCCATTCATATAGAATATCATAAATTTCTCTCACTTCTGGTCGATTTAATGGATTTGCATCCAAGCACCTTTTAATTAAATGCATAATTAATTGGGGCACTTTAATATTAAATCTTGGTCTAAGACCCAGACAAATTTTTATTGCTAAATTTTCATCATGACTTAAATCATAATACGGAGGTAATCCAGAAATCACTTCATACATAATTATTCCAAAACTGTAAATATCAGCAGCTTTAATATAATTATGTCCTCTTAAAATTTCAGGAGCAATATAAGGTAAAACACCATATATATTATTTTTTGTATTTTCTAATGCTTCATAATCTGCAGGTTTACATAATCCTACCCTATAAAAAAATTGGATACGATTTTTATAAAGTTTTTATACGATTTTTTTCCTTAGAAATAACGTATCATAATAGGATACGGAAAAATGCACAATTCCGTATCACTAAAAATATGGTTTGGATACGGAATTTGCACGGGATTTATATGGAATTTACATGATTTGATCACTGATTTTATCACGAAATTTATACGATTTGGTCACTGAATTTACTATTTGTATTATAGTTTACTATAATTGTATTTACATAAATCTAATTTTACTTTATTAAATTAAATAAAAAATAAAAAATAAACAAAATACAAATACATTATGAAAATTCCCTCCTTATTAAAACCACCTATTGCAACCAAAATTATCTATAAGTTCAGGTTCATTT